ACAAAAAAATCCTGGAGCCGCCACTGTCTACAATTTGTTATATTTTGCTGCAAACATGTTTAGATTGTTATAACTGTACAGTTGGTTTTACAAGTTACGGAATTTATCAGAGTAAACTATAAAAAGTCGTAACAATATTTTTTGAAGATTTTTTTTCTACTTGATCTAACACTTAAAACGACTTTTGTTGATGTAACCTCATGTTTGGCTATCATGCTATTAATACTATTTCATATTTTTGAGTTTAATAAAAAATATATAATAATAATAATATTATAATAAACATTTATTGTAAATGTTACCACGAGCACATTTGATAACATTGGTTAAGTTCGGGGTGCTAGGTGTGGCGGAACAGAAAGTATCCAGCAGAGGGCAGCAGAAGCCGGATGTCTGACTTACCCGCTGTGATAATGCTGGTCGAAGAGGTTGATTCCTAAAAAACAAAGTTTAGTTTTTACTCCAAGTTTAAGTATTAGCCGTCCACGTTACTCGGTTGTTATATTGAATACTCACCTGAGGAACAGAGGCCTCTGATGGCGGAAGATTCACAGTGATTTTCACTGTTTTCTGACCAATATTGAGCTCATGCGTTTGTTTGTTTAGAACCCGCTGTCTCACTGTGACATACATAAGAACATAGGCCTATATGAGTGAACAAACTTATTAAGTTTAATTTGCACCTTTACGCAAACAAATTTGAACAGTTTCCTTTCTTGGACTCCTCCCACCGTAACTCCATAACATATTTCGAGATAACTAAGCTAACGTTAGCTATAATTAAGAAACTTCTCATATTAGGCATCACTTTACGCTTTATACATGATGTAGCCTATAGCCTAGTAACAGTTATAGAAGTTCAGGCAACTTTACCTTCCTTTGATTTGAATCGAACAGTTGCTGTCTGTCCGCCAGAAACAGGGTACTCCACATCACAGTCGCCTCCGTCGGATTTCTTACTCTGGAAATAGATGGTAAGTTTGTTTTTTAGTTTGGAAGTGCGGGGGTCCCACTGGCCCTCCACATAGAGAGCGAATGGAAACTCATCAGTAGCCATTTCTGCCTGTCCTGTGACTGAGGTGTTTGTTGAACTCAGTGTAAAGACTTAGACTTTCACTTTTGATTTCTCTGTATATGGTCATGCATCAGGCGGGGTTTTTCCACAACGTAAAAAAACCGTTTCAGCTACAAGCAGAAACACGTTTGTAGTAGGCTAAGTTAGTCTCTTCTTTTCGAAACTTTGAAACCATCTCTGTTTGGGTAAAACTAAGGACGTATTGCAGAATAGGAAATAAAAAGGTGAGTGACCAGATTCTCGTAATAGTATTTAGTAGCTATAGCCTCTGTGCGCATTTAATGTATTGAAGGTCGCACAACTGTTTTGCTTTCGATTTCAATTTTAACAAACTTTTTAATGTGATTTGTGGCAGTCATTGACGTGTCTGTCTTGACAAGTTTGTCAAATCCAACGTAAGGTTTGTTTGTAATGTCAAAAACAAGGCTACTTCAGTTAGGCTACATGTTACTGGGGAACTTTGGGCCTTAGCGATCCGGATTTCTTGTGTCGTAAATGACGACGTGTTTCAACTTTACAAACACGATCTTACGCTTACTTGTATAACATGCTTTACATAAGTGCAAACTTAAACTATAGTATAGGCTAGTTTTACTCGCTTTATTTTTAGTGTGTTAATCGATTTTTTGGGATGCGGAATTGTCCAGTTTTGTTCGAGTTGTTACGGTAAAAGTGGATAAACCTGTTTGACATCTTTCTTCAGATCTTTCTTCTGCCTCAGTCACCATTTACTTTCATTGAATCTTTTATTTTTATTTTTTTAAGTTAATAAATTTTGACTGAAGAATTTTCGGTCACACTTAAACAATATCTCATTTGTTTACATTGCTTAGCATAGCATGAACTATCAGCAAAATAATTTTACAGCATTTATTAACGTTTGTTAATGTTACCATTTAGCAGATTTTTTTTATGCAGATGGTTACAACGAGCAAATCATTTTAAGGAGGCAACCTTATTAGAAGACTTTTCTTAGAATTAGAACAAAACAAAGTCAAGAACCTTTAGAAAATGTAGTTCTCAGTGGGACTATTAAAATTACCAAAAGGAATAAAAGCCACTAGGCCATTAAAAGGAATTCCAAGAAAATTATTTAGGATATTGAAACTCATGTAGGTATTTCTCAGTCTCATGTCCTTGAACTCTCCATTAGTAAGATGTTATTCCAATACAACTATTAGGGATACAATAATCATTACACAATATTCAGTAGGACTATAAAAATTAAATACAAATGTATCACTTAACCTATTAGCATCGTATTTTATTTTTTAGTATGCTTTAGCATTGTTTTTAAATTAAGTATGAAATCCCAATAGAAATCCTGTACACATTCCAATAGGATATTTTGACTAATCTGTGGTCAAATATTTTTGTATAATGATCAATACTTTATTTCCACAGAGGTCTGTGTACTGAGGAAGCAACGAGCCATGAGTGACAAAGAACAGGATTTCATGCCACTGGTTACAGGACAGGCTGCCATTCTAGGAAAGTGTAAAAGTGCCTTTTGCCATGCTGTTAAAGAAAAATTTAATTGCACCGCTATTCTTCACAATGTGGAAGAGGCTGGCTCCTTTGGTAGACACACAAGTGGTGATTGGAGTGCTGAGATGAGGTACTCCACAAAGCTGTCCAGCAGAGTTGAAGTATCAGTCTGGAAAGATGATCTTACACGTCATAAAGTGGACGCTGTGGTCAATGCAGCTAATGAGAAGCTAAATCATGGAGGAGGTCTTGCACAAGCCCTGAGTGAGTGTGGGGGACCAATGATCCAGAAATGGAGTGATGACATTATACAGAAATGTGGAAGAGTGAAAACAGGCGAAGCTGTACTCACTCCTGCTGGAAAACTCCCATGTAGATATATCATACATGCTGTGGGTCCCAAAGTGTCTCAAAATCCATCCAAGAAAGAGGTCAAAGGAGCTGCACCCTTGTTAACTAATACTGTCATTAGTATCCTACAAACAGTTGTAAGTCAAAACATTACCTCTGTTGCGATTCCTGCTCTAAGTTCTGGCCTTTTCAATTTTCCAAGAGATTGCTGTGCAGACATTATTGTTGATACTATAAAACAGTTCTATGAAAAAAGAAGGTTTCAAGACAAGAATGTAGAAATCCATCTGGTCAATAATGATGAACCCACAGTCCAAGAAATGGAGAGAGCCACTAGGGCAGTTTTATATCCGACCAGCACCTCTGTTTCGTACAGTGGGGCTGTGAAAGGCCAAAACCAGACCATGACTTCCCCTTCATGCAACAGTTTGCGGTTTGAGAACATAAAACTGCACCTTAAAAAAGGGTCTATTGAAGAGGAAAAGGTAAGACTGAAAAATGTCTAGTACTCATAGAAAAAAAGAAGAGTGATCAATTACAAAGCTCTGAAGTTCAATCAGATTTATAAGAACACAATGGTTCTAAAAAAGTTTGTTTGATATAAACCATGGAATTGTAAGAACAAATGAAAATTGGAAAAATGGTGGGGAAAAACATTTTACATTGATATTTCATGTGTTTCTTTTCACTTTGCTTCAATCACCAGGTTGACGTAATTGTAAATACCATAGCATCAAACTGTGATTTGTCCCAGGGGCTGATTTCAAGAGCAATTTTAATGAAAGCTGGCAGCAAGATTCAAGACGAGATTTACAAAAAAAAATTCTCTACCCCAAGTTTCACAAGAGTTCATCTCTATTCGACAAAAGGATATAATCTGAATTGCTTAGCGGTTTTTCATACTGTATGCACACCGAGGTCTGAGTCTAAGGCTACACAGGTAGATTTGATTTTTATCAGTAATTTAGCACACAATCTGATCTGTCCCAACTGTCTTAATACAAACAGTATGTCTTTTTGTTGTTGTCTGTAGATTCTTTACAAGGTGGTATGGGATAGTCTGAAGAAAGCTGCTTCGGATTACAAGTCCATCTCTTTCCCAGCTATTGGTACTGGTAATCTGGGCTTTAAGAAATTGGAGGTTGCCAAAATTATGACAGATGCTGTGGCAGAATTTGCCAAACAGAACACAAAGAAACTAGATGTAAATTTAGTTGTGTTTCCAAAGGACAATGAAATGATGGAGGTGATATATGCTAACTATATACTCTGCTTTTCAGTGTTTGAGCCTTCGTTTAGTATTTTTATACTCATCATGTTTTATTTTCATCCGCCGCATAAATATTTAGTGCAGCACAGTTTTTAAAATTAATCATGCACAAAAGCAATTCAGCAGAATTTATTTATTTTTTTCATATATTTGATTTCACTAATGTTTAGGCTTTCGAAAACGAGATGAAAAAGAGGAAAGGAGAGGCAATGTCCCCAGAAGTACGCAATGACATGACAAGTGAGAAAAATATATAATGAAGTATATATGAAATATACTGTTCATATTTACTAAAAATGTTCCTGCTTTCATAGTTTTACACTTTCGTCTGGATTGCAATAATATATATACTCATGAAAACTACTGAGATGAATGTTGTTACCTCATTCTAATGTTTTCAGGCTTTGGTTCTGCAGCCAGAGAAACCACGGCAAATGAAACACCCACTGTTGAGTTCATCTCCAGGGACTCCAGAGCTCAGAGAGAAGCAAAATCATGGACATTTAATATGCTAAACCCATCAGATAACATGATAATAAATAATAACCATGTCATATATCTTGACCAAGGAGATCATAAAAACCTCCTCTCTCTCCAAACAAAGTTTCATGTTCACATCAAGGAGTTCTTCAGGAATGGTAATGGTGGAATAACCATCACTGGAAACCCTTCAGATGTCAGTTGTGCAGCAATTGAGGTGGAGTCCATGCTTTGTAAGGCCCAGGAGGACTTCGCCCAAGCTGAAGAATGTGACATTCTGTTTTCTGTAGTTCGCTGGAGCTGTAAAGATGTACCTTGTATACAAACACCTGAAATCAGTGCAGTTTTGGAGAAAGCTTATCTGGAAGGGCATGAGAACCATGTGGTCAATAAGCACAAGGTCAACTTCATGTCCTGGAGTTTGGTTGATGACTACGGGAAAAGCAGCAATGTGGAAAGGACATGTATGTACAACTACTAAAAACTGTAAATAAATTGTAGTCTAATAAAAGATGAATAGTTTTCTTAGTATAGTGCTGATGTTAAGTTCATGTCTCATAACATCTGGATGACCTGATCTAATCTTTTCTCCTTTACAACATAGGCCTGTTGTTTCCTTTCAAGACCTTTAACAATTCATTTTATACAAGAGTACCTATGATCAGGAATGATTATGTTGAAAAAGAAGCAAGGAACACCTTCAGTGCTTGTGGGCTCTGTATTGAAAAGGCAAGCTGCGATCTCAGTCACAATGCTATTTTTTATTTTTTGTATGAGAGGAACATCACTGTAGGCTTTCTTCATGTCTCCATAGAGCAGCTATTGTATGTTAAGCAAAAATTTGACTAACAAATAATATTTTGCTTAATGTAGTCAATGTCATTTTATTTGCTTTTTGTCATCATCTGTGTTCAACTATAACATACAAAGGCAGCAATGAGGAAGTTTAGCATGATGCTGTGATACTAAAAATATGTAATGGCATGTGGTTGCACTGGTTGTTACAGGTGGAGAAGCTAGAGAACATTATGCTACAGCAGCTGTTCGAAATGAATAGGCAGAGAGTGAAAGTCAAACCGAAGTGCCTCTACCAGCGTGTGTCTGCTCAGTTCTGTGATCTCATCTGCAGAGTAGGCTTTCAGAAAGAGTTCGCCCCTCCTGCAGGTAACACAAATGTGAAGTCATTCAGAATAATTAGTTCTTTTTTGAAGGCATTTCTTGTTTAAAATGTTTTCCTTGATTTCTAGAGCAAAAGTATGGCAGTGGAATATACTTCAGCAGTACAGTGGATGGAGCCCTGAGGCTGTGGAAGGAGCAGAAACATGAGCAGTACATCTATATCATTCAGGCCCAGGTCCTCACTGGGACATACACGATTGGTTCTCCACAAATGATTTTGCCCCCTCCCTTAAGTGCAGACCCTTTGGATCGTTTTGATAGCTTGACTGACATGGGGCAGACGCATATAATCTTCAGCGGTCAACAAGCTCTTCCTGAATACCTGGTCATATGCACCAGATTAACCCATGTGTAGTTGCACAGAGCAATATGCAATAACAAAGCACACTGGAATCAATCAAGCCACATTTTTGATTTTAAAAACATCAACTTCTAAAAACAAAGTAATCACACAAATAATACTGAACTATACACAAATAAGGAATAAAGGTCTTTGTAATCATTAGTCTAAATCACGTGTTACTGGATGAGTGATGATGATAATAGATGCCAGTGATTTTTTTAACCTTTATGTAGCCTCCTTTGAACTGCTTCTTCTTTCTTTAAGACTAATCCTGACAGGTCTTGCCTTAATTGCTCTATTGTTGTTTGTTACTCTTAACGTAGTCACATGAAATTTTGTTTTTAATATAAAAACATTTACAAACATTGGTGTTAGATTACAATTGTTTAAAATTTATAATTGTTTTCTTGTAATAAGTTCATAGTTATCAGCTGATTACAACAGAATGCAAATGAGGGGTGTCTGGTAGTTTTATGTTTAAATTGATTCCTTAATTAATGCCATACAAATGAACTGTTTATTTTATCAGTAATCAAGGCCTTTCTATGCATGTGATGTGATTTGAATTACACTTAATGTTTTGACTTGAATAAATGCCAAATTTCAACAAAAATTTCTGTCATGATGATCTTTATCTGTCCAATGAGCTATATAAAATGCTGTTCAGACTAGAAAATATTTATTACAGAAATATAACAAGACATATTTAACATTTGTAATGTAAGAGTTGCTCTATAAGATAAAATACATCGGTCAAATTAAGATTTTAACAGCAAAAATATTGAGATTGCAATACTGATACCACCATTTTTTTTTTTTAAAAGCTTTAGCATTAAAATACAATTCAAATTTTAATTCTACTAAGTAAAAAGAAACTTAGAAATTTTAAGGAAATATAGCTTGATTCAGATCATTTTTCAGTTCAGCCTCAACACTGTTCCATACAGTATATGTCATGATAAATTATTTCACATATAATTTTTTCAGAAGAAAGCTGATGCCAACAGAGGACTAACACATCACATCACCTTGAATTCACCAGACACATGAAACCTGAATGACAGAAAAGAGTAATCTTGCTTGTCACAAGGCCTTGAGCCAAAGCGTCGCAAAACACAAAGCCACATAAAAGTATATTTCCAATAGAATGTTATTGCTGTAGTCTGACCCTATTTATGAGTCAGTGGCTGGTCAGATCAGATCAGATTCTAGACTGAATACTCTAAACAAGTACACGTTTACATTTAATTCACATTTAGACCACTCTATGCTTTTGAGAACATGATTGTGCTACCACACAAAGAATAAAAATGTTGTCTATACTTGACATGGCAATCATCAAACTATCCAATAAAGGTCCGGGACTTTCAGAAATGAACCATTTATAGGGTTAAAACAATTATCCACTGATGCTATGTGAGGTAGGAATATAACTAAACTATGTGTTTGTAAGACACATCTGTCTCTCATGCCTCAAAATGTTACATTACTGAACCAGCACAAGCTAAACCAGGGAAGCTGATCTGTAGTCACAAATGAGCACATGCTGTCTCAACCTCCATACAGTTAGGTCCATATATATTTGGACACTGACATAATTTTCATAATTTTGACTCTGTATGCCACCAGAATATAATTAAAATGAAAAGATCAGGATGAAATTGAAGTGCAGACTTTGAGCTTTAATTGAGTTGAAAGAGTTAAAGAGTTGAACAAAAATATAACATAAAATGCTTAGGAATTACAACCTATAATACCAATAATTTTTATACACAGTCTCCCCATTTTAAAATGTAATTGGACAAATAAATATAATCATAAATAAAATGTTAATTTTTTATATTTTGTTGAGAATCCTTTGCAGGCAATGATTGCTTTAAGTCTGGAATTCAAGGACATCACAAAAGACTGGGTTTACTCCTTTTTGATGCTTTGCCAGGCCTTTACTGCAGCTGACTTCAGTTGTTGTTTGTTTGTGGGTCTTTCTTTAATTTTGTCTTCAGCAAGTAAAAAGCATGCTCAGGAGATTGACTTGGCCATGACAGAATATGAAGAATATTCCACTTTTTTTACCTTCAAAAACTCCTGGGTTGCTTTTGCTGTATGTTTTGGGTCATTGTCCATTTGTACAATGAAGCGCCGTCCAATCAACTTTGCTGCATTTGGCTGAATCTGGGCAGACAGTATATCCCTATACACTTCAGAATTCATCCGACTGCTTCTGTCTTCTGTCACATCATCAAAAAACACCAGTAACCCAGTGCCACTGGAAGCTATGCATGCTCATGCCGTCACACATCCTCCACCATCCACCACGTTTCACAGATGATGTTGTATGCTTTGGATCATGAGCTGTTCCAAGCCTTCAACATACTTTTTTCTTTGTGTCATTCAGGTACAGGTTGATTTTAATTTCATCCGTCCAAAGAATGCTTTTCCAGAAGTGGTCTGGCCTTGTTTGCACCTTGTGATGAACCCTCTGTATTTGCTCTCGTGAAGTCTTCTCTTGATTGTAGACTTTGAAAGTGGCACGCCTACCTCCTGGAGAGTGTTCTTCACTTGGCTGGATGTTGTGAAAGGGTTTTTCTTTACCATGGAGAGGATCCTCCGATCATCCACAACCGTTGTCCTGCATAGACGTCCAGGCCTTTTTATGTTGCTGAGCTCACCAGTGCGTTCTTTTTTTTCTCTGAATGTACCAAACTGTTGATTTGGCCACTCCGAATGTTCCTGCTATCTCTCTGATGGATTTGTTTTGTTTTTGAAGCCTAACAATTGTCTGTTTCACTTGCATGGAGAGCTCCTTTGACCGCATAATGTGGGTTCACAGCAACAGCTTCCAAATGCAAATGGCACACTTAGAATCAACTCCAGACCTTTTACCTTGCTTAACTGATGTAGAAATAATGAAGGAATAGCCCACATCTGCCCATGAAATGGCTTGTCAATTGTCCAAATACTTATGGTCCCTTGAAAGGGGGAGATTGGTACATATCAAAGAACTTTAATTCCTTAACCTTTCCTCCAATTTTGATGAGAATACAAATTAAAGCTGAGAGTGTGCACTTTAAGCCCATATTCGTTATATAACTGTAACTTGAATATGTTTTGGTCAACGGCTAAAAAAATTAAAATTGTGCCTGTGTCCAAATATATATGGACCTGATTGTATATTCACTTCTCATGAGGATGGATAATCCAAACACACTCATTCACACAGATCACTCTGACTCTGAGATTTCCATGCCATCCACCAGCAGTGTGTGAATGATGCCATCTCGTCTCTTGCCGCTGCTCATAGCCTTAATGCAGCAGTCATGGTCGCCCAGAGTGAAATGTGTCTCTGTGCCGTCATCAACAAACTCACCCTGAGGAAGAACAACAAGAGAGATGAATGTTTTTCTCCTGAATTAATGGTAGTCACATATGTTGTCGAACTGGTACGTTCAGTAGGGCTGTGGCCACATCTACTTTGACATTGTCAAATGTCAGTGAAAAAAATCTAAACTATCCACATTTTTGTTTTTATCTTTGCCTTGTTGATTGTGTTGGGGCACTTAATCTAACTTGCGTCAAATGATAGATTTAGAGTTTTATTTTGCTTATTTTATTACTGGTAAAATCCACAAGCAAGTAATTTCAGTCTGATGGGATAATTTTTTCCTCCACAGTGAACCAAGACTGCAGTATATATAATAAAAAGTGTTATTGATCTAAAACTGAATTAAAATCTGATCAGCTGCTGTTTACTGAAGTCACACTCACTTTTACACAAAGAGCAAGACCTTTATTGAGAGGTGCTACAGATTGCAGTGACCTAAGGTATCAGCTAAAAATAAGACCTGGGTGGGGACTGTCATTATTTCTGTACAGTCATATCTTATATATATATATATATATATATATATATATTAGTAAGACAGACTTTACATTAAGGTTCAATTCATTAACATTACTTAATGCTTTAGGTAGCTTGAACTAACAATGAAAAATTATTTTTACAGCATTTATAAGTTTGGGCTCATTAAGTTATAAACTTTTTAAAATCAATTTAATAAATATAGTGCTCATTGTTAACTTATGTTCACTCCTAATTCATTAACTAATATTACTTTACACAACTTGAACTGTTAAAAAGTAGAAGAAATTAAAATGGAAATTAGAAATCAACATTAACTACATTAATTAAATGCTTCAAAAATATTGTTAATTTAGTTAATGATAATTAATGTATTAACTTATGGTAACAAATAGCAGTATTACAAAAAAATAAAAAATAAATAAACTAATAAAATGTTTAGAAAATAAATGTAAGTGAATATAGTAACTGCTGGACTTACAGCTGTTTCCATTTTCTGTCCATTGCACCATATATCCATGGAATCTTTCTCTGTTGAGGATGGAAGAGTTTATAAGTGATCAATTAGCAGGTTGCAGGATGAGTGATAAAGATGAAAACATCAATATAAATCACCATACTAGTCTCATTGACTCACCTTCAGTGCTCTGATCTGTGACTTACTGTAAATTTAGGATCTCAGCATTATCTTATGTGTGTGATTGTGTCTTGTGCTGACCTTTTCTTGTTGGCATTTGACTTGTCTGTTCAGCCACATTGACTGTCAGTTATGAAATACACTAACTGTACATTACTGTTGTTTAAAAGCATAAGCCAAATGACCGCAGGAAATGGTTAACCTGAGTGACAGGTGCCCATACTGGTACACAAAAAGATGTTTTAATTTTAATAATCCAAGATGTTATCACAGTAAAATGACATATTAAAAACATGCACTGGGAAGAATTAAATGCACAATACTGAATTTTTCATCTGAAAAATGGGGAGTTCTCTATATCAGCCTGTTGTCTCATTCTATGTTAGCTATCACTCCTATTGAAAATAAAAGTTGATATTTTAGTCAAACTTTATACTGTCAGGTTCAGCAGGACCTGTGATTGATAACCTACTTAGTGGCTAGTCTTTAAAAAATGTGTCCTAGTACACCACTTGTTGCTACACCCCTGGTACATAAGCCATATAAACGCATAAATCAAAGGTCTGGATTGGAAAGTCCTTGTAAGTTTCTGTGTGATAGTTAAAAGTGTTATCTAACTAAGTCACATGCTCTACTTTCATGAGCTGATAAAAGTGCTAATGTTCACTAAAGCTTGATATCCATCTGCTCACTAGCGCTCCCATGAAGTTAACAAGACTGTTTGAAAACGTTTGTGTTTTTATTACAAGAGAAACTCCTCTTACTGTTAAGCACTAATTATTTAAAGAGATTTGTGATCTTTTTTTAACCTTCTTTAACATTTAATCTAAAGTTAATCACTGCTGCTGACTGTGTGGCAGGTCAAGGCTTTCAGCATTTCAGAGAGCTGCTGTACTGCAATGGGAAAATTATGGATTGTGTTATTTATTGTGTTCATTGTTATCCACTTATAACAATGAACACATAAATTAATCCATGCTTTTGGTTTCTACATTCTAACAAAATACAGGAATCAGTATTGTCGGGGGAACAAGAGAAAAAAGCTTCATCACAGACCAATCAAATCACATATTCATTTGAGCAACCAGGTATTTCTTACCCAGAACCACTCTGCAGTCGATGCCATCAAGGTTGAGGAGCCATGTGCTGGTAACTTTGGAGCGATTCTCCATGTAATTCTTCAGGCTCTGTCCGTTAATCTCGAGAGTGTACTCGTATGCAAAGCCACTCACTGCATCGATGTTAATAGTGGCCTTTGTGTTTGTACCACCCACATGAAAAGTCTCTTTTCCAACCAGTTTGAACATCCAATCTCTCCTTATGGCTTCCTGGGAAAGTTATGAACAAACCTGTGAGGCATCAGCACTTCTTCTCCCATCACTATAATGAAAATACTCATGTCACATATTTCTAGAACACTATAGTCAAGATCATCAACTAGATAAATAAATAAATAAATATTAAATACACAGCTCTGGAATACAGATTCAAAATTGCATAACTGACCGTTGTCCCTGGCTACTGATTTTCTACATTGATTTTCTTCAGTAAACTCAACAAATGGCCACAAACTAACTGCAACGTTTTCATTTATTTCCATCCTTGTTTTGGTCTAAATATATTTTTTTAACAATCTATAATTGGCAACTCTATTTCTACATAGATTTTCTTTATTACATTCTAATATTACAAATGGGAACAAACTGCAGCTTCTTCATTTGTTTCCAGCTTTGGTTTATTTTTTTTTATTTTTAAATAAATTGTCATTAGTAGATTCTACAAGTATGACTGAACTTCAACAAGTATTAGCCTGAGTGTCAGCTATTTGTACTAAAACTTTCTCACCTTTCCATCGATGTAAACGACCCGCTTTCCTGTGGTTGTGCCATGTTCAAATTCAATCCTGTGCACACCATCACTCAAAGCCACGTCCCACACAGCTACAAGATCTCCTGACATCTTCTGTCTTCCAGTGCCTAAAAGAAAAATCAATATAGACAGATGACTGAATTTCTCATAATAGCCAGTAATAATACTAGTAAACATGAGAATAGACTAAAATGTTTTATGAGCAGAGCAGAGAAGATGAGTACAGCGTACAAATAGATGAACGGATTAGAGAAAGTATGTACATATACATACACACACACTGTATATAAAGAACAAACAATATTATGTATAGAAGTAGACATTTGTGCTTAGTGATTAATTATTTGACTTAATTTACTGCTGTGAAATTGAATGAAAGTATGATCCGTTAAATGTACAAACCAATATCACTATTTTGAGCGACATAAAAAGATCGAACGTCTGTCTTGTTTCATAACCAATAACGTTAAATGCTAAACATTTCCTATAATAATAAAGAATAAAACACTGACAGCATTGTCAAATGCCTTGCGTAGAGAAGGGAAATATTTGTGGCCTGAAAATGATTGGTTACACGATTTTCCATGGTAAGAATATTTTAAGAAATCTTGACAAAGCGGGTGGTTGACGATGTGTCAGAGCCATCAAATCTGTGAACGGTCATTCAAAACACAAGAGTCAGAGCAGTAAAGACAATAATAAAGACGTAGTTACCGATCCGATTCAGAGCAGAAATAAAACGCGTTTGTGTATATTTGATTAGCTTTTTCTGAAGGCAGAAAATATGAACACAACTGACGCCAACAGCATCAACACAGCTAGCTCCAAAATTAGCCAACAACAAATCTGCTCCAGCTAACAACGGTTACTATGGCAACAGCGTATTCTTCTTCTGTCCGCGTTTAGGTCGGTTTAGACGCCACAGTAGACTCTACTGACATCTGCTGGCAATACAAACAGAGCCCATGGGACGAATGCCACACATTCACTCAACTTTCAATGCATATATAAACGTTTACTGTTTACACATCCATATTCACGTACTAACATTCTCCAGCATACAAAACATACATTTCTTCAGACAACAATTCCTCTTTTAGCACAAATGCTTTGCATGTTCAGGACAGTTCGGTTTTCACATATTCATCTTCAGAGCTAAATCTCACCTCTAGATCCATAATATATAACCAAATCTACGGACAGAAAATAAGTGTTGGCCATCTGGTGGTGATTGGGTGCTGTTGGTGCTGTGCTATGTTTACTTAGCTCTATCAAAACAAATTGTTTTGTATTTAAAACAAACGTGTCAGCAATCATTAATGGCTTGACACTATATATAGTGATATTGCAGCTGATCATGACTGTACACGCTGTCAGACAACATCAACCTATTTGCAGGAAAAATAACAGGATGTTTTATACACTTAAGGCTCAAATCCACACAAGTGCTGTCAGTAACCTGCGGTATGGATGGTGGGCTTATGCTCTGGGGGAGAGGACAACCTCCCGCTTCAAGGAAAACAGCAAAATCATTTCAATTGATGGCAACTTGGCATGTGGAAAGGGAGCGCTTGCGCAAAAATTGTCTGATAAACTCGGTAAGACAATATCTGGCTCTCTAGTTTTATTGTTATATTGTTCTTTTATATGTATATGTTTATTTATATATATAATGTAATGTGTGTGTGTGTAAAATTAAAAATATTAATTCAGTATTCAATGTTTCTCTCATCAGGGATGCTGTACATGCCCGAGCCAGACATACACTATGTGGACAAAATGACAAAGGAGAAAGTTCCTCTAGATAAGGCTTTTAATGGAAACTGCAGTCTGGAGAAGTTTTACTTGGAACCCAAAGCCAGTGACGGTAACTCTTACCGCCTGCAGTGTTGGATGTACCTCATGAGGCTGCTACAGTACTCTGATGCTGTTGAACACCTGCTCTCTACAGGTGACCAAAGCTGTTTGATACTTAATAGCTGTTCACTTATATTATACGAAGTTTGATGATGTGATCGAAATGAAAACCTTACAGCACAAACGTATTACCCTATATAAAAGTTGTGAGAACACATTGAGACTCCAGGTTGTTTATGCTATTCTTTTTGCTCTGTTTCCCTCTCTCAGGACAGGGAGTTATTCTGGAACGATCTCCATTTAGTGACATTGTATTTTTGGAGGCCATGTTCAAAGAAGGCTTCATCCGAAAGCAGTGTGAGTGATTATGTCCGAAATTCATAGTGTAAAATGATATAAAAGGTGAAAAAAATGCTGGTGGTCATATTACAGTGGATAATATATCAGAGCTGTTTTTTGTTAATTGAAATGAAAAGGATGTATGATATATGTTGCTATTCTGCAGGTGTGGATCACTATAATGAGGTTAAGGGTGTCAGTATCTGTGAGTTTCTGCCCCCTCATCTGGTCGTCTATGTGGACTTACCTGCTGAAGAGGTCCAGAAAAATCTCAAGGCATCAGGAAAGGTTTGTGTGAGGAGAGGAACACATTGATTTGACTCGTTGTTGGTTGAAATAATGAATCTTTTGATTTTAATGTACAAAAATAAGAACACAAAATAATTTCTTAATTATTTCTTGATTTGTTTGCTGCATGGGGGGTTTTATACATTGTATAATTGGGGAAATAATTGACAAAATATTTTTGAAGTTAGCCATGCTGAGTTAGTCAAGCAAGTTATGAAATGGATCTGTTTTTCTATTCCAGCTTTCATGCTAAAACTATCTCAACTTTCTGACTAATAAGGGTTCTGAGTAAAGAATTAAATATTTTAATTTTTAATAATTAATTTTTTAATTTTGACATTCAGGAAGAGATTATTAAATTAGTGATAGGCTTCATCCGAAAGCAGTGTGAGTGATTATGTCCGAAATTCATAGTGTAAAATGATATAAAAGGTGAAAAAAATGCTGGTGGTCATATTACAGTGGATAATATATCAGAGCTGTTTTTTGTTAATTGAAATGAAAAGGATGTATGATATATGTTGCTATTCTGCAGGTGTGGATCACTATAATGAGGTTAAGGGTGTCAGTATCTGTGAGTTTCTGCCCCCTCATCTGGTCGTCTATGTGGACTTACCTGCTGAAGAGGTCCAGAAAAATCTCAAGGCATCAGGAAAGGGTTGTGTGAGGAGAGGAACACATTGATTTGACTCGTTGTTGGTTGAAATAATTAATCTTTTGATTTTAATGTACAAAAATAAGAACACAAAATAATTTCTTAATTATTTCTTGATTTGTTTGCTGCATGGGGGGTTTTATACATTGTATAATTGGGGAAATAATTGACAAAATATTTTTGAAGTTAGCCATGCTGAGTTAGTCAAGCAAGTTATGAAATGGATCTGTTTTTCTATTCCAGCTTTCATGCTAAAACTATCTCAACTTTCTGACTAATAAGGGTTCTGAGTAAAGACAAATTATGTCCATTTTCTGGTGGTGTGAGTATATCAAAGTTTTCAGTTTTAGTTTCAAAAACCTGTATCTCATTTTCAGTGAAGAGGCAGAGGTCCTTGCCTATGACGCAACCCAAGCCCAGGACATTGAGAGGGTAAGGATCGAACCTGTGTATGGAGCACATTGAGGCAGACAAATGTCACTGCTCTGACTCTGTTTTTCCTTTTCAGGTTGTGGAGGATATCGAGTACCTCAAGTTTGAGAAGGGCCCTTGGCTGGAGCAAGATGACGTCACTTTCCACCATATTCGAATGCTGTGAGTGCTTGATTTATTTACATTTCACTATTTTATTTCTTTCTGTAGACTGTTCCTTGGGCTGGCTGGAATTATTATCTGTCATTTAGTTCTGGTTGGCCACATGAATAATCCATACTTGCTTTATTTGGATAAAAGCGTCTGCTAAATGACTAAATGTGTAAATGTGTAATGGGGCTAAAGGCACACCTTAAGTAGTGCTTTTCACTACTCCTATAGTGTATTGATTGCATAAATAAATGTGTGTCCCAGGACATTGAGAGGGTAAGGATCGAACCTGTGTATGGAGCACATTGAGGCAGACAAATGTCACTGCTCTGACTCTGTTTTTCCTTTTCAGGTTGTGGAGGATATCGAGTACCTCAAGTTTGAGAAGGGCCCTTGGCTGGAGCAAGATGACGTCACTTTCCACCATATTCGAATGCTGTGAGTGCTTGATTTATTTACATTTCACTATTTTATTTCTTTCTGTAGACTGTTCCTTGGGCTGGCTGGAATTATTATCTGTCATTTAGTTCTGGTTGGCCACATGAATAATCCATACTTGCTTTATTTTTTTCACCGAGATTATATATATTTTATTGTAGGGTACAATGGGGCTAAAGGCACACCTTAAGTAGTGCTTTTCACTACTCCTATAGTGTATCGATTGCATAAATAAATGTGTGTGTTTTTGATGGAGCAAAACATTTTGTGGGAAAATAATTCATAAAGAGATTTGCTTTAAAAGTTTTGAAGCAGATGCCATGTTATTATGACTTCACAGTAATAACAATAAAATTATATGTATATATAAATATGATTAAAGTCACATTTTTAATTATGATGGTTACATTATAAATATGGTTATTATCTCTAAGGTGGACACGCAACCTAATAAATGATATTAACCATCTGAATCTAATCATGTTATGACAATAAATGGAAAAGTCAGCCAGCTATTTATCATCTTCTCAATTATTGTGTCTTTAGCATTAACAGCAAATACAATATGTAAATTTAATTACTTTGAACATAAAAAAACCCTGAATATTAGATCAATTTAGTGCAGAATAAACTTTGCTGCAAGTGCATTGCTGTCTGTATCTTCAGAAAAATGTGAATGTGTACAGTGAAAAGCAGACATTTAAAGGTTCTGCGGTATGTTTTTGTGCCATCTAGAGGTTCAAAGAAAAATAAAAGCACATGTGGATTTTCACTCTTTTTCCCCATTCATTAGGGTGGAGGACAAGCAAAGAATAGCCAACATGACCTGCATCCCCAGATATCTTCCAGAAGTCACAGTCGGTGCTCATGAGTTTGATGCTGCCTACTATGCTTTCAAATCGGTATGTGCCCTCCACTGAAACTGTGCCACTAAATGTAAAAGACTGATCACAAACCTCATGTAATGGGATGCATGTGCTTAAGACCTCATTTTGGCCATGTGCAACTATGTCTGATCTCTATTAGCTATTCTTCTTATTTTATCAGTAGTGACAGGTGATATTAACTTCATTTGTTAGAGAGAATGGAGCAGTGATGCTTTAGGTGTCTCAGTGATGATAGATCCACCTTAAATGATGTTTTTGTCAGATACATTTGTGTACAAGTCATTGTGTGTCCAGGAGCCCAAACAATGTCCCAACAAGTTCCTGCATAATGATTGAGTGTTTTAATGGGGCTAAAGGCACACCTTAAGTAGTGCTTTTCACTACTCCTATAGTGTATTGATTGCATAAATAAATGTGTGTGTTTTTGATGGAGCAAAACATTTTGTGGGAAAATAATTCATAAAGAGATTTGCTTTAAAAGTTTTGAAGCAGATGCCATGTTATTATGACTTCACAGTAATAACAATAAAATTATATGTATATATAAATATGATTAAAGTCACATTTTTAATTATGATGGTTACATTATAAATATGGTTATTATCTCTAAGGTGGACACGCAACCTAATAAATGATATTAACCATCTGAATCTAATCATGTTATGACAATAAATGGAAAAGTCAGCCAGCTATTTATCATCTTCTCAATTATTGTGTCTTTAGCATTAACAGCAAATACAGTATGTAAATTTAATTACTTTGAACATAAAAAAACCCTGAATATTAGGTCAATTTAGTGCAGAATAAACTTTGCTGCAAGTGCATTGCTGTCTGTATCTTCAGAAAAATGTGAATGTGTACAGTGAAAAGCAGACATTTAAAGGTTCTGCGGTATGTTTTTGTGCCATCTAGAGGTTCAAAGAAAAATAAAAGCACATGTGGATGTTCACTCTTTTTCCCCATTCATTAGGGTGGAGGACAAGCAAAGAATAGCCAACATGACCTGCATCCCCAGATATCTTCCAGAAGTCACAGTCGGTGCTCATGAGTTTGATGCTGCCTACTATGCTTTCAAATCGGTATGTGCCCTCCACTGAAACTGTGCCACTAAATGTAAAAGACTGATCACAAACCTCATGTAATGGGATGCATGTGCTTAAGACCTCATTTTGACCATGTGCAACTATGTCTGATCTCTATTAGCTATTCTTCTTATTTTATCAGTAGTGACGATGACCTGCATCCCCAGATATCTTCCAGAAGTCACAGTCGGTGCTCATGAGTTTGATGCTGCCTACTATGCTTTCAAATCGGTATGTGCCCTCCACTGAAACTGTGCCACTAAATGTAAAAGACTGATCACAAACCTCATGTAATGGGATGCATGTGCTTAAGACCTCATTTTGGCCGTGTGCAACTATGTCTGATCTCTATTAGCTATTCTTCTTATTTTATCAGTAGTGACAGGTGATATTAACTTCATTTGTTAGAGAGAATGGAGCAGTGATGCTTTAGGTGTCTCAGTGATGATAGATCCACCTTAAATGATGTTTTTGTCAGATACATTTGTGTACAAGTCATTGTGTGTCCAGGAGCCCAAACAATGTCCCAACAAGTTCCTGCATAATGATTGAGTGTTTTCGCAAAGCAGGAGTGTCACCTGAGGACATTCAGTGATGTCGGTGGCATTACAAAATCAGGAGACAGATAGACTTCTGGAGTGGGTGACAGAAGTGCTTTGTATGGCCATTAATGATTCCTGGCACTGTTATATTGATCTTGGGGAGTGATGAGCTCCTCGTCGTGTTCAGCCATCAGATTTTTCATCTGCTCATCTGATCACCACCTTGTCAGTCCTTGCACTAAAACATATGGAGCTTTACCTCAGCTGAGAGAACATGTGGAAGTGGAGCTCATGAATATAGATTACGTGTCTAGTCTTTTACTTTATTTTATTTTCAGTGTATTTCTTTAAAGGTCACGGTAAAATGTTGCCATTGCACACCGGGGCTTTAAAGAATCTAACATGTGACATGAAAATCTCTCCTTAGCTCCCAGGAAAGAAGTACGCTGAAGGTTATAATGAAGACGTCGGGGACAAAGGCATCTGGCTGAAGTGAGAAACGCTGTTGTCGCTGGAGGGAAGGACATCTGAAAGACAGATTCCTTGTGGTATTTCAGCTGTTCGTCCATGTCTTGTGGGGAAAGATATATTCTGCTCTTATACAGCTGAAGATATCATTGTACATTGCTATTCAAATATTTATTGTATATGTTCAACTCGTTTCCTTTCACTTTGAG